CCCCAAAACCCCAAAACCCCAAAACCCCATTCATCTATTGACAATATCGGATTTATGAAATTAAGATTAATAAAGTCAAAAATAATTTTATCAAATTCCAATCTTTTGATGCTACTCTTCCTACTCTTAATCAAGCTATTCATGAAATTCAACCAAAGATTATAGAGAGAGATATTTAAACTTTCTAAAGGATAGACTGCTCACAGAAGGATCATACTTGAATGGTCTTTAGCCAGTATTTAATTTTAGATAATTCAATGGGTATACATTGAAAGCTAGATAAACTCCTGACTTGGATTAGAATATTTCGAGAGGTAAATTAATTAAACCAATGCTTTTACCGTTACTGAATATCTCCATAAATAAGTCATTTGGCTCTGCAATCTGCTTAGGCATTTCTTTTTAAATACTAAGCCTAATCATTGTATTACTTTTCTTAATATTAAGTGTATTATTTTTACTCTTATTTCTTGATCTATTAGTCACACTGCCTTTACTTTCTTCATCATTACTTTTAAATGATAAGAACTTTGGCATATTTTTAAAGAGATCTTCTTTTACTTCATTGATGGGTCTTGTTTTCTGTTTCTGCATAAAATCATGTAGTCGCTTGGCTTCTCTTTTTTTCTGATCTTCAATAAGCAATAATTTCCTTGCCAATCCATCCAAGCATATAAGTACTCCTACATTATCTTAGGAATGAATAAGCTGATCCAGCATGTAGCCAGGAGTATTAAGTTCATTTCTTCTATGAAAACACTTCTAATCATGAGTTGATATGCCAAAGCTATGAACATCATCACCTATTACCACACTCTAATAACCTCTAATTGTATTTGGATCAACTTAGATTGTCGCTTTGGTCTTAATATCTATTTAGTTACAATAATCGTATTAAAAATTGAGTGTTGCAAGTCCAAATCGACAGTAACATTGAGAGTGAGTATTCGAGTTGATTTTTTTCTCTTACTACTAATTTTACTAAACTTTATTTTCAACGTTCACGATCTTAAATTCAAAGTAAAATGAATTAGTCTCCTTATCTTAATACCTCTTGATTACTTGCTCATTAGACGGAAGAGGAGTTGATAGATAAACTGTACCAATAGCTCCATTCACATTTTTAATTTATGAATAGGCATTAAATTCGTTATTTTTAAGCTAGATGATTGAATGAGACTTGTATTTAGAGCTAAATCTTAAAAGTTCTTCACCTTTTTCTGGATTTATAATTTATCTTCTTAACTTCTAAAATAGCATAACCTTTTCAAACTTAGTGAATTCCTGTTATTTTACGATCTTTTGCACCTCTTCGTCTTAACAAAGAAAAGGAGTGGACTGTGCTTCAAGTTAAATAGGTTTCCTTTGTACTAAATCTCTAATTTTGATAGAGGAATTAGTCAGTTAATTTTTCTTTTTATGAAATTGTTCTCTGTGGCTTAAAATCTCTTTAAGAGTATCTGATTTCTCAAAAATTATTTGATCACTATGAGATTCAAGAGCTTTAGCCATTGATTTGTTCAATGTTCTTAGCAATAATACCTTTTTAAATTCATCTCTAAAAGGACTTCTCATATTAGATTGAGAGGGTGGTCTTTCAACTATGGTTTTTAAAAGTTCCATTCTTAGTTTCTTTTGAACCTTAGAATTAGGTTGATAGAAAAGCTAAGGATGTGTTTATCTAGGAGTAAGGTATTTACCAGCAGTTTGAGGCCTCTTGATTTTCCTAAATTCAAATAGATTAGGATTCCTCAAAAAATATTCATGCTCTTCCCTTTTATCCAGAACATCTAAAATGTTTAAAATCAACAAATTACCCTTCTAATCTTTGATTGAGGACAGAATTTACAATTAACTCTCTACCTCCAAGATTATGTTTTTCCTCATCTAGGTAAAATATATAAGTTCTAATAAATTACATAGCGTGGCCTCTCTCCTTCTATCTTTCTTAAATCTTGAAACATATCTAATTGATCGTGTTGTTATTATAAATAATTACTGATAATAATTGAGCTAAAATATTTCATTTTCCTAATTTACATTTTAAAATGAATTGGGGTTTTGGGGTTTTGGGGTTTTGGGG